ACTTCTACTTTTGTTAAATTGATCACTTTGGTTTTCAGTTTAATCCGTTGTCACCACTGTCAAAAAATAATCAATTCTACAAGGCTAACCCAGATCCAGAGGATAAGGTTCATGTCCTGGTTTATGTCGTGAGTGGAAATTCTCCAGAAATTCCAGCACCCATTTTGGAAAACATGACAGAGATCAGAAAGGCAGCCAGTAGAATGGGTAAGAGCTCACAGTGATGTGTCTGTTATTTAGACATCCATCCATTTTCTACACCACTTATTCCCAACGGGGTCCTGGGGGGGCTGTTGCCTGTTATTCACACAGTGACTCCAGTTAATGGGAGGTCCTGAGTGATCCATTTAAACAGCTGTTTCAGAGAACAGACTTACTGACCACTCCACAAACGTCCTACTTTACTGTCTTTCTTTCTGTTCTCCTCCTTTACGTTCTCCTCTGTTCACTCTAAACACCCTGCTAATCTCTGTCTGTACCTTCAGGGTCGTTGTTGCTGGGAAGTCCTGGCAGCCCAGAAAAACACAGGTCAAACTCACAAGACTTTGTGAGACTTAAAACCAAGTGAAAGGTTGTTTTTTTATGGTGTCTACCGTACAGCTTTAACTTTTCAATTCAATTACATGTAATTTAAAGTAGATTGAATTAACAAAGCAACAAATATCTATTGGCACTTCAAAGATAGTTAATTGTATTATGATCACAATATAATTAATCCCATTTCATTATAATCAAAATAAGTCCAATTAATTCAGGGCCAATTAAAAAAAGGTTTCCTATCAAAGGAAACCAACAGATGGTTCTGAAACTTTTCTCTGATCTAATCCTCATCCTGGACCAGAACCAGAAACAAACCTCCATCAGAACCAGAACCAGATGGGGGTTCTAGGGGCTGAGAGGACATAAAGGGGAGCCAAAAGGCAATGTGACACCAGGCCAGAGAAACCTGCTAAGAGAGAGGGAGGAGAGGTGCATCATGGGAGCAAAAATGGAGAACAGATGATT